GAAGAGTCTTACTGTGGGAGGAAACCAGAGTACCCTTGGAAAACCCATGTGGTCGGGCAGGTGACTCCATACCTTTTCACATCCATTCCGTGAATCGAACCCCGGACAGCTTGATGAAAGGCTAGTACATTACCACTGCCCTAACCGACCACCCTAATACAGTATTGCCAAATTCTAGCAAGGATCATAGCTAAGATATCAATACACTTGTTGGCCAGCAGCAAAGCATGCAAGAGTCTTTCTGAAAGCATGTATACCAAACAATATACATGAAATACCAAAAACTCAGACAAGGGGACTCCATTACGAAATTGTACCTGCCTATGGATACCACACTATGCATGACAACATCCTTTGATATGCCTATAAAACCCAATCACGTTCTCATTAGTTCTGTAAATGTATCATTAAAATCAAGTAAAGCAACAACATCCAAAGAACCTACCTCCAACAATATCAGAGGTTTAAGACGAGGATGATGTAGGAAGAAGTAGGGTGGTTGGGTGGCGCAGTGGTAACGCACTCGCCTTTCACCTAGCCGACCGGGGTTCGATTCCCGGAACGGACGTGAAAAGGTAAGGGGTCACCTGCCCGACCACGTGGGTTTTCCCCGGGTACTCCGGTTTCCTCCCACAATAAGACCCCTCGCGCGCTTGCATCCCGGCCAACAAGAGTGATTAGTATAAGTTGATATAACTTGTTTCGCAATTGTTGTAAAATAAATAAATTTATATATATAAGAAGTAATGAAAACACTATGTCCTCACTGAAGCCCTTGTGTCCCCAGACACTCTTGAGCTTGACTAAATTTCCTTTAACCAATGACAGTAAGATGACACGTACTCTACACTTCTCTTATCCTCAATACTCCCTAGGTTTTGATCCTTTCTGCACCTTGCATATGTCATGGCAAAACTTAAGATTCCATGTTCGACACCTTGTGGACAAGACGAAAAAAAGGCTAATTTGATCCTCTGATGTACATCAAATGTATCTCAAAGTTGTAGTATATTTCAATGGCTTTGAAGTTAAATGTCACTCCTTTGTAATCTTCAAATTTAGGAGTGTATTGGTCTGTCATTAGTCAGCTTTTTCTCTTGGAACCAATAAAATTACTTTGCTTGTGCCTTCAATTTTGACATAACAGGGGTGCAAGGAGCGAAAGTGATTGTAACCTCTGGAGTACCCAGGATGTTCTTCATTTTTTTATAAAATCTTCAACCCATAATAAGGACAAGGAACTCACTAGTATGGAAATTAATATCAAAACTTTTCATAACCATGCATAGAGCATTCACTTGTCATGTTTCAGGCTTTGATTAATTCAATGGAATGTGATATTAATGGTAACATTTTTTTCCGGATGTCTATATATTGAATTTTATTTCCTGATGCACTACACTGACTTGTATCTAACAGAAATTGATTAAAGACCAGAAATTTCTAATTTGATTTGTTCTTCCCATAAGAACAGTAATTTTCCTTAACTTGTCTTTCACTTATCTATCCAATTATCCCTTATTTATCTTACGTACACAAGCACTTATCTTCACACTAGCCCTAACCAACAGTGTTCAGTGTTAAAACCAGAGGCACAAGTCATTATCTACCTATTCATGATGCGGTAAATATGATCTCTGCGAGTCAACCTTTCTTTTGTGTCTCATCGTCACAGGGCATACGCCAGCTGACATAAATTGAGGCCCCACCTCTGTATATGTAAGTAATTGGTATACAAAACACTGAATGGATCACATGGAATGTGTGTTGTCAAAAGAAGAACAGTGTTTCATTACACACTTTGGTATGATAATTACCCAAAGACTATTCCTTAATCATTAGACAATATATGCTTTGTAAACATCAGTAAGGAACATATTGATAAATAATGAATTAAATTCATAGTCCGATTATTAGTCTCAATCCGCACGCTGCATATTACACACGAAAAGAGACATGTGCTCATCGCTTCTACTTCGTCGCAATATATGATGCATCGGGAAATAAAATGAACCCTATCAATTTCTGAACAGCTGAACATGAAAGTGTTTTAAAAGATAATCAGATTACAATTGACAAATTTTTCAATGTCCCAAACAGGCCACTGTCTTTGCTGATTCTTAGTTTTCTGTCTGTCTAGCTTTTATCACATTTTTCAAACACTTCGTTCAGGTTTTGAATGATACTCACTGCTGTAGGTTGCATTAATATATACAGTAATTATCTTTTTTATTATTTCAATTCATAAATAAATTGTCTAATCATTTTTGTGCCAGTTTTAAGTACCAAATAATCCTGACAAACAATGATGGCAGCCCCACAGAATCTTCGGTTTTTCCATACAAAAAAAAACTCTTGAAAATCCTATAGCTATGTAATGTGCACACCCCCAACTTTGGACATTAATTTTCTCCAAAAAAGAGAGAAATAAACCTGCGCACATTACATGGTTTTTTATGGTAATTTATTCATCCATTATTATAAAGGCTTCATTATGGTGCATCATCGCAAAGTTGATATATACACAGTATATATCTTTGCAACTATGATAAAATATGTTCTGAAGATCGCAACTTGAGCATTGCCAACAAAAATAGCCAACAGAGTGTGAAATGTTTACCTTTGAAATGCCTTGTTTCATTGGCTGGTAAATTATTGGCTATCTTTAATGGCCAATCAGATGCCATGCAGCATAGGGAAAACAGGGTTTCAAACAATTTTACTGGCACCTTACCAGTGCTTGCAATAATAAAAAAAAACTGAATGATTTGAAGATAGATTAAAACATTGAAAATTCTGACCAATTGGATTTTCAATCTTCATTCCATACAACATGTTGTTTACCATGAAGGAATCGTCTTGACAAAAATGATTAGCATCAAAGACATAAGCAGCCCTGTGAAGCTTTTTTGGGGTACATGTGATACTTTTTTATATTTAATCAGGCCTAATCCAGACTTCATTTCGCCAATCCTAAAGTTCTAATCAGTTATTTTAGCATCTTAAGCTTTGTATCGTATGTTCTCGTACATTTAAAGATGGTGACATTTGTAATGACAACATTGTCATGCCGTGTTTTATCACAATTTAACATAAATTATGATTTGTGGTTGATCATTTTCTGAAATGTCTTTTGCAAAACAGTTTTGAAATTGATCCCTGTATGTAATGTAAGACTCATTTTCAAAGTTTCTGCAGCATGTCAAACATGTCACAGAACTTAGCGACATGACGCTCATTCAAACATTGGTTGTATTCAGGACAAGTTCCAAGTGACAAAGGGTTTAAAACACAATTTAACTCTTGGAATGTGCTAGCCAATGAAAAAAAAAATGCACCAGGCTTCCTTTGACCAAGCTAGACCATACAGGAAAGTGGGGCAATCAAATCATTAGGGAGTCGTAAATTGAGCCAGTAGGGCAGTGACAATGTTTAAATAACATGTCCAGCTGTGATATATGACCCTTCAGGAATGAATACATAGTTCCTCTCCTCACTTGCATGTGATTTACCTGTGTTTTTGTGATAGTCATCAAAATGAAGTGATATGAAGCGTTGCCCGCATGAAAATAATGACATTATTAGGTGTTGGCAATTTTCATTCAAGTAATCTTATACTTGGCATTGAAACATTGAGACTCTACTAGTGAAGTATTTATCATCATCAAATTATTGCACAATGTTTCCTAAAAAGAATGCGTAATTGTCAATGGTTATGAAGACTTTTATTTCATTAGTACATGGAATCACACGAAGAAAAATCTGCTCATCTTACAGACAAGTTGCCATTTAAAAATTTTAATCACATGTCCATCTATTTTTGCCAGTCTCTGCTGGGGATATCTTGAAGGTAACATCTCAGTCTTCTATAGCTTCTATCCTTTGAGTGATCAACGGCACCAAATTTGCAATAGGAAGAAGTTATTAAGTTATCTGGCTCGGATTCATACTAGTGATCATTTGATCTCCAGCCAGATACTCTACCACTCAAATGAAGTTAAATTCCCACTAACCAAGTTTAGTAAGACAACATGTACTCTTAACTTCTATACTCTATCAGCTGACTGGCCATTTACTATTTCATGTGAACAAGTCACACTGTGCACTTGCATCTCACTAGCTGTGAGCTCCAGATCACTCTTCATAAGAATGGACACAGGCACCTGTATTTGTAGCGGAGGTTAAATCCTGTCCACCATACATCATACAAATTGGTAAACCACTTGCCTGTTCAAGGGCCAGTCTCTGTAAGACATTAGTGTGTCATTTCTAATCATAGATTTTTAAGGAGCTAGCTGATTGGTTAACTCTTGTGAGTTCTATATGAGGGATTAATATTTAGATTGAATGATATTTGTCTTACAGAAATGGACTGACCGCTTGAAAAACTTGAGTGAAGATACAGTGACATTTCACAACGAATCTTGATGTGAAATGTGAACTTAATTTTAGTTAAAGGTTATAATTAGTCAAACATGTTTTGGCGTTTAAGTTGACTTTTAAGTGGCACAAATAGTGAAAATATCATTTTTTTCAAATTTTTGAGGACCCTCAAATATCATTCCTATGATGTCAAACTGGCAAGTGTCCTACCTCTGACGCTATAGTGGGCGAGAGTTTTGTTTTCAAAGTGCACGTTCCAGACACAGAATTAGCTGGTTACTCATCGATGGCAAATTTGTTTTTCCAAAAAGAAAAATAACATTTGTACTATTGGTTGCGCTGCAGTAATACATAGCTTATGTTTTATGGCCCATAGTCACCAACGATGACAGGGCTGAAACGAGGTGATCGGTAGGGACTTGGGTTTCTGAAGTAAATGTGATAACATAAACCGTATACAAAAATGGCGTGATACCAAACACCAACAGCACAAAACTGTTCCTATTTCAAATATCATGGGAATGGTTAAAACGTATTTTATGAAAACATATTTCGCTGAGGTGATCAAGAACAGACATGCTTGATAAAACACGCAACATTATCAATGTTTTACTTACGTCGATCGATTCTCCCATAGTGAACAGATCAGCCATATTACTATTTAACTGAATATATATAATCCTCCATATATATCACACTAATGTCACTCATTTTACATTAGATTGTCAATAAAATCCTTTTCAGTTTCATGCTTTTCTGAACGATCTGCCATGTTTTGAAAATCTTAAAGACGCGCCTCAACTTGAACCGGTTTTATAGTCCTGCACTGAAAAAATAAATACATATAATAGCAATAAAAAATAAGATATTTATATTTGAGTATTGTTTCCAAATTTAAATACGTTGACATAGTTTCAGTAATAATTGATATAATTGTAATTTTTAATATATTCCAGAATTTTCTGCGGCACTACTCATTCTGGGAAAGACCCCATCGAAGGCGTTTGTTCACGTGTGTTCCAGAAGATTCGCCGACATAATATATTGGCGAGGAAGGCTAGGCTCATATCTGAGAGTGATATATTACGAAAACTAGATCTACAGCAAGCGACAGAATCCCGTCAATTCTGATTTTTTTATTATTCAACTCACAGAAATTGTTTTGGTGATTGATTGACTAAAAATGTCTGTTGTGGGCTTCGATCTGGGATGCCTCACCTGTTTTGTTGGAGTGGCGCGGGCAGGAGGCATCGAAACCATCGCAAACGAATATAGCGACCGATGTACCCCGTAAGTACGAACATGACATAAAATCTATCCATTCATCAATATGTCGTTACAAAGGACAAAATCATAGAAATGTTCAAAACAACATGGTCACCTCCAGTACCGGTATATTCTGTTCTTTATGGGGGACCATACTTAACTTAACAAGGAAATGAAAACAAATTTCTCTTGATTTGATAAAATTAGAGTGCAAACAGTGTAGCAGGAAATCCGAAGTACGAACTCGACAGTGATCTGTGGGAAAACGGAACATCTATATTTACAGGGGAAATGGCCCTTACTGAACTGAAATTACACAAAGAGCTTTGTAATAACTTGTTCTATCACAGGAAAAGTATTTTCTAGAATTGTTGGCCAAGTTGTACCCTAACAACACAAGCCGCATTATACTGCCCTGCTAGTGAGAACTTAAATGTTTAGCAGAGTGAAAGCTGGTAAGCTAGAGGTTCTGGATTTGATCCATAGTGTAACAATAATGTGTAATAATGGGGAAAAAAGATCCCAATATATATAATAAAACTAGAAGGTAGAATTGAAATTTGGAATCAAATTCCTTAAAAAATGGCTAAAAATACGATGGAAAGTGACATTCTTCTTCCTTAATCTCGAAGGATCTTTCAAAACTATTTGGAATAAAAATGATTGAAATAATATCTAATTCGATGACCAGAATTTTTTATCAACATGTCTGAATTTGAATCTGTTTTTACTTTTTTCAAACACATCATCTTTGAAACTTTATTGAGTATGACACACTATAAAATTTTGATAGTGCTGTCTTCATCAGTATTTTGATTAGACAATTATTGGTTTGTTTGACATGTTCTGATACTAGAATAAATATGTTACAGTACTTCTTTGTGATATATTGTTTGATCCCACAGAAGGAACAAATTTACTTTTGTTCACTCTTGTGCATATTGTAAGTTACATCGCTTTAACTGGACTCATAAAAAAATTCAGACAAGTTCAATGAACATGATTAATATGGGTTTACCTGCTCTTTTGTATGTGCCATCAAGCATGGTCCAACACTCAACATGATTTCTTCTTAAAAGCTTTATGTGCACAATCAGTATGTAAACATGTAGTGTTTTGAACATTTCTTCAAAATTATGGTATTTCTCAGAAGGAAAAACTATAACCAGGCTGTTTGTAATTTTGCATTCAAACATGTAACTATATGATTACTTCATGACATATCGGACAGTACAACAGTTTTAACATAGAGAAAAGATCTATCTTGAGGATCATATGATCGTGGATGACAAGATTTTTAGCATCTTTAGCTGGTATATTATTATGTCTGATAGTGGTATTCATTAGATTAATACCAAGACACTCTATCCATGACTTAAAGATATTTATTTTTTGTTACAACTAAGGATATGAACTTGTACGTTTACTGCCATCATTTGAAGATTTTTTCCTATGCTTTTTTCAATATATATGTGAAACAGTTATCTCAAGTGATGCCAGTTATATGAACAGATAGATGTATTGTTTGGAACATCTTCAAAACCCGACCTTTTCAATATGTTTCATTTTAATGTTCCAGAGCCTATGTGTCAATGAACGAGAAGAATCGCTGCATGGGGGTGTCCGCCAAAAATCAGAACACAACCAACTTAAAGAACACAGTATCTTGCTTTAAGCGCTTGATAGGACGGAAATTTAACGACCCTTTGGTACAGGAGGAGTTAAAATCTTACTTCAAACCATACGAGGTCGTGGAGGGGCCAGGGGGAGAAATTTTAGTACAGGTGAGGAAAATGAAGTTATAGTTGCGTACTCTTCTTTTTTCTGTTTGCCTTTACAGTAACATACTGCTGTGCTGTTTGTATTCCTGTTATGTGTAGCAACGGTTCATTCATTTACTCTGTGTAACAGATGTCTTAAAATCTGATGGCAAGAGGAGAGTACTTTTCTTGAGTTTAGATCCAAATACTTACAGATCTTTTTAATTCCTATGTTGAAACTCTTTATTTGAATCAAGAATTCAAGCATTAAGTTAACTGTGATTATTGCAAGCTGCAATGCCACTAATGATGTTCCTATGACAGACAGCTTTACCAGGAGATCTGTATGATTAAGTTGTGTTTTTCAAATCTTAAGTGCATTTCATTACTTCATCACTAAAGTCATTCAGCATCCATTGTTTGCTTCCAGTGCAATGCAAAAACCGACATTATTTTATAAGATATTATTTCATTGAATTTATTTTTTATTTATTTATGATTTTTCAAGCATTAAAAAAGCAGAAGACTTTTTACAGATGTTGTGTTGATATTATACAGGTGAATTATATGGGAGAGAAACAGTCCTTCACACCAACACAGTTGACTGCCATGTTACTGACCAAGTTGAGAGAGACCTCTGAGGCAGCCCTGAAAACGAAAGTTGTTGATGTTGTGGTATCGGTATGTAAAAAATTGTGGATTTAATGAAAGATCAAAGGAAAGTTAAATATAAGAACATGATGGAAACTGGAAATTCACAGTGACCAGGAAAAATGCACATACTTGTATGTTTTCTAATTTGTTTAGATTTCAATAATGTTTGAGGAAATATTCTCCTTTTAGTTACTAATTTGTTGGTATACAAGATAGTCAAATATATAGGGGTGGAAGATTACTGAATTTAAATGAAGATAGAGAAAAATGTACAAATGTGGTCTATATTGATCTATAAATATCTGACACCTTTAGAAATTAAATACTCAAGTTGGTAAAATATAATCTTATTTCAGGTTCCAGCATTTTTCACAGATATTGAGCGTCGGGCAATGTTGGATGCATGTCAAGTGGCTGGTCTGAATTGTCTGAAGGTCATGAGTGACACCACAGCAGGTGAGATTTGTGTTTTAGGTCATTCAGTAGTTATATTTACATCATGTTATGATGATACAGACATTGAGCCGAAATTGTCATCCGGATGGTACAGTGATGCCAGCATTATTTATATACATGTTACTTATATGCTGATGTTGGGACAAAATTTTCATTACGTGTACATTTATATTAAGTGATTTAACATTAAACATTTCATAAGTAACAAAATATGATTTGTAATGAAAACTGTTAGATGTATTAAAATTCTTATTCTTAGATTGGGTTTATACATGCAACACTACTTTATAAACTGGTGTTTGCTATGCAGACCAAGGGACTGCACTCATCCTGCTGTTACTTCTGTCCATAGATGTCAACATTCAGTTGAGTGCTAGATAAATGTGGAAGACTTTGATAGATTGGTTATTTGTGCCATATCTGCCACTCGCTTCCCTACAGCAACACATAACATTACATATTTGTGTTTTAGACTGTGAGATTGATTTTTGTGGATTATTCTAGAAAAGTAAATCTTGTTTTGCAGCATCATTGGCATATGGTATATACAAACAGGACTTACCAGCAGAAACAGAGAAGGCCCGCACTGTTGTGTTTGTAGACATGGGGTATTGTTCTACACAGGTGGCAGCTGTGGCCTTCAACAAGGGTAAACTAAAGGTAAGTAAACCAACAGGCAACAGGGTGGGCTATTGGTAAGTAAAATGACAGTTAAAAAGGAGAGCTATCGGAAGGTAAATAGACCAGTAACATTGTAGGCTATTTGTGAGTGACAATAAGGTGGGATGTTGGTAGGCAACGGCAAGGGATATAGTAGGCAAACATACTATTGATACTAGTAAACAGAACTTGAGATTATTGTTATTCAACATATCTTTTATATTTTATCCTTATTACAGGTCTTGGGAGTGGAAAGTGATCGTAAACTAGGAGGTAGAGATTTTGACAATGAACTAGTGCGCTACTTTGTGGATGATTTCAAGACACGGTTTAAAGTTGATGCAATGACACGTCCCAAAGCCCTTGTCAGACTGACACAGGAGTGTGAGAAGCTGAAGAAATTGATGAGCGCCAACTCAACACCTATCCCCATCAATATTGAGTGCTTTATGGATGACAAAGATGTCAGTGGCAGGATGGATAGGTAGCGTATAACTCAATCCTTTTGTTATTTAAAGGTATCCATAACCTGAAGTGTGAGGTCAAGATTGATTTTTGAGTCAAATAAGAAGTGTTATTATTTAGAAAATCAAAACTGAATTGACTTTTGGGATCATAGATTATGTTAATTTATTTCTAATTTTATATTGAAAGGATTTCTTCATGTTTTTTAAACAGATTGATTTGAAAGAAGGGAGACAATTGTATAAGTAGTGGTTTTGCTGGTTCTTCTGCTTTAGAATTATAATTTACAGTCAAAGAAATACATAGCCGTCTCGCAACTTGTCATTAACATAATGTGGTCCAGTATCTTTAATTCTACATGTATGTTACTATATCCTGTATCATTGTCAAGGTAAGCATACATCCTACTTTGTAACTTTACTTTTGGTAGGGATGGAATGAAAGTTCACTAACCTTGCTAAGTGATACTCGTTTGTATTGATTACAGGGAAAAGTTTGAGGAGCTGACAAAACATTTGATGGTTAAAGCAGAGGTACTATTTAAAGCCCTTTTACAAAACACAAGTAAGTATGGATATTGGTTTAGCAGAACTTTTTTACTCTAAGTCATAACACTTTTCAAAGAATGAAGATATTTAACAAGGTATCAAGAGAAGAGCTACTGTTTCCTGTTAGTGACAGCAGATAATGTTAATCAAAATTGTAATTACTATATTTCATATATATTTTTTTTCATTTCTCGTGAACCTGATGATACTATATAAGAATTTCTAAAATATCTAATTTCATTTTCAGAACTATCTCAGAATGATATCTACTCCGTGGAGATTGTTGGGGGCAGCTCCAGAATACCTGCCATAAAGGGTATGGTTCAACAAGTGTTTGCTAAGGAGCCAAGTACAACACTAAATGCTGATGAAGCAGTGGCTAGAGGGTGTGCCCTTCAGGTAGATCATGGTTCCTGAGTAACAGTCTAACAATGGAGCAGTCTCTTAAATCTAACATATTTGTAGACCACTTTTCAGTAACTTACAATTCTAATCGATACCTCTTATTATAGTATATACTGTGAATCACTTAAATTTAGAATGGAATTTATTTTTGCATTAACATGCAATTATTTGTTAGAAAATAACTCTGGATTGTGTTCATGTTGATTTGGTTACTGATATCAGATTTTTGGAGAGTCATGGTCTCCAATAGCTTATTGGCAAATTTCAAGTCATTTCTTGATAAGAGTTTGCCAAATCATGTATTCATAAATACATCTAAATAGAAATGTTTGCGGAATTGAATATTCGGGAAATGAAAGTGATTTGTCGTACCACCTGTGTAAATCCAGTGATGTATACATGACAATTATTTGGTTTGATTAGTCAGTTAGGAGAAAATTTTACAAAAAGCAAGTGAATAACACTTTTTAATATAAATTCAAATTAGATTCAATGGAGATTGCCCCTGGGTTATTAGTATTAATGTATTGTGTATTACTGATTTCAGTGTGCAATTCTTTCACCAACGTTCCGTGTTCGAGATTTCTCCATTGTTGAAGCACAGCCCTATCCGATCACACTGAGCTGGGAGGGTAATATGGAGGATGATAAGTAAGTAAAATATACAGTACATTATAGGGTCACTCGACATTTAGAGGGGACGGGGTCATGTCATTTACGTAAGAGAATCATTAGTCTAGAAAATGTGGAAGGTTAAAACTTTGCCACTTTTAACTTGTAAATCGGTGAAGAGTTCCAAACAATTACAGATTAGATTCATGTGGTGTCACCTTGTGTAAACTTTCTTCGCTTGTTTTCTTTGTGAAATCTATCCAGTCCCCTGATTGCTGGTAGTATGGTATTTTAGAGAAGAAAAGGACTCCTAGACATTTTGATACTGAAGTCTATTTGTACTCTTTTTTCAGTACACTGGAAGTGTTCCCCAAATTTCACCAGATTCCATTTGCCAAGATGATGACATTTTATCGTAAGGAACCATTCCAGCTAGAATCCTTCTACACACATGCTAAAGATGTACCAATTCCTGACCCACATATTGGTAGGTTTGTTGATACACTCTTAACTTATTATATGAAGATTGATGTCTTTGATATGTTGTACATTTCAGATGAAAGTTCTCTATCCCAAATGCCTGTATGTGATCAAATATTCATTCTATTATTGTTAATTCCAGGCAGTTTCAATGTAAAAAATGTAGCACCTCAAAAAGATGGGTCATGTTCAAAGGTCAAAGTTAAGGTCAGGATCAATAACCATGGAGTCTTCACAGTATCTTCAGCCTCAATGACTGAGAAATTGGAGGATGATGCCCAGGGTGATCAAAACGGCCTGGAGGCCATGGAAACAGACTCAACGGAAAAGAAGTCTGAGGATAATGGACAAGGAGATCCCCAACCACCGAGCAATTCAGATTCACAAACATCAGAAGAGGTATGTGGGTTGTTGTGTTTTATATACAGTTTCTGGGAAATTTTGCTTCAAATAAAAAATGAAGTTGTCAACTTCGTTTCAACAGACTAGTGTGTGATGTGTATTCTTAGAAAACTGTTGGAAAATGAAAGATTGGTAGTTTTTTTATTGATGCTGAAGTAGAAGAATTTTCAGATGTGTCATGAAATCGGTAGAAATAAGATTATTTTAGGAAATGATAAAAATAAGTGTTGTTTTAGTATTTAATTCATGGTTGTGTCAAACTTTGTATTCCTAAGATTGTTGTTTATATCTGTTACAGACACCAATGCAAACAGACCAAGATCAACAGAATAGTGAACAGTCAACAGAAAAGAAGGTAGAAAGTGCTATCTATAGATATGTTGTCCTTTTTGTACATCACATTTAATCTGTTTCACTATTTTTAATAAAATTTGAAAAAATTGATGTGAATTATTGATTTATGATTAATGCTGTTAAACCACTTTATTTGTATGATGCTAATTAATGTAAAAACAGATTTTCATTTGAATCTCTCAAAATAATTGCAGGAAGAGAAAACAGCAGAAAAGGAAGAAAAGAAGAAGAAGAAGAAAACCGTTAAAGTGGTAGATTTACCGATTGAGTCGAAGGTTCCTCAGATGTCTAAAGAACAGTTACACCTTCTGGTTGAGAGAGAGGTACCTTTTCTTTTTCTCTTTAGTTTTCTGTCAGAAAGTGGAAAGATAAAGATTTAGATACTTTGCAATATTCCTGCATATTTCTATTTAGAAATATCATTTAATACTTGTCTCAATCAGTAATCTTGGTACAGAATGGGTTTTTTTATTCTTGTTTTCTTGATTTGCATAGAACCAGATGATTATGCAGGATAAGTTGGAAATGGAACGATCACATGCAAAGAATGCAGTTGAGGAATATGTGTATGATCTTCGTGACAAACTTTATTCTCAGCTTGAAGAGTTCGCTAAGGAGGAGGTAAGCAGTGACAGTAATGGGAAGGACACGTCTCTAGTGTGCTAGTTGAGTGTCATTATTATGTAGAGGGGAGGGACACCTGTCTGTGTTGTTTCAGTTCAGTGTCATTATTATGTAGAGGGGAGGGGCACCTGTCTTTGTTGTTTCAGTTCAGTGTCATTATTATGTAGAGGGGAGGGGCACCTGTTTGTGTTTCAGTTCAGTGTCATTATTATGTAGAGGGGAGGGACACCTGTCTGTGTTTTTTTTCAGTTCAATGTCATTATTATGTAGAGGGGAGGGACACCTGTCTGTGTTTTTTTTCAGTTCAATGTCATTATTACGTAGAAGGGAGGGACACCTGTCTGTGTTGTTTCAGTCCAGTGTCATTATTATGTAGAGGGGAAGGACACCTGTCTTTGTTGTTTCTGTTCAATATCATTATGTAGAGGGCATAGACACCTGTTTGTGTTGTTTGAGTTCAGTGTCATTATTATGTATAAGGGAAGGACACCTGTCTGTGTTGTTTCAGTTCAATATCATTTTTATGTAGAGGGGAGGGACTCGTGTCTGTGTTGTTCCAGTTCAGTGTCATTATTATGTAGAGGGGAGGGACACCTGTCTGTGTTTCAGTTCAGTGTCATTATTATGTAGAGGGGAGGGACACCTGTCTGTTGTTTCAGTTCAGTGTCATTATTATGTAGAGGGGAGGGACACCTGTCTGTGTTTCAGTTCAGTGTCATTATTATGTAGAGGGGAGGGACACCTGTCTGTTGTTTCAGTTCAGTGTCATTATTATGTAGAGGGGAGGGACACCTGTCTGTGTTTCAGTTCAGTGTCATTATTATGTAGAGGGGAGGGACACCTGTCTGTGTTTCAGTTCAGTGTCATTATTATGTAGAGGGGAGGGACACCTGTCTGTGTTTCAGTTCAGTGTCATTATTATGTATAAGGGAAGGACACCTGTCTGTGTTGTTTCAGTTCAATATCATTTTTATGTAGAGGGGAGGGACACCTGTCTGTGTTTCAGTTCAGTGTCATTATTATGTAGAGGGGAGGGACACCTGTCTGTGTTTCAGTTCAGTGTCATTATTATGTAGAGGGGAGGGACACCTGTCTGTGTTTCAGTTCAGTGTCATTATTATGTAGAGGGGAGGGACACCTGTCTGTGTTTCAGTTCAGTGTCATTATTATGTAGAGGGGAGGGACACCTGTCTGTGTTTCAGTTCAGTGTCATTATTATGTAGAGGGGAGGGACACCTGTCTGTGTTTCAGTTCAGTGTCATTATTATGTAGAGGGGAGGGACACCTGTCTGTGTTGTTTCAGTTTCAGTTCAGTGTCATTATTATGTAGAGGGGAGGGACACCTGTCTGTGTTTCAGTTCAGTGTCATTATTATGTAGAGGGGAGGGACACCTGTCTGTGTTTCAGTTCAGTGTCATTATTATGTAGAGGGGAGGGACACCTGTCTGTGTTTCAGTTCAGTGTCATTATTATGTAGAGGGGAGGGACACCTGTCTGTGTTTCAGTTCAGTGTCATTATTATGTAGAGGGGAGGGACACCTGTCTGTGTTTCAGTTCAGTGTCATTATTATGTAGAGGGGAGGGACACCTGTCTGTGTTTCAGTTCAGTGTCATTATTATGTAGAGGGGAGGGACACCTGTCTGTGTTTCAGTTCAGTGTCATTATTATGTAGAGGGGAGGGACACCTGTCTGTGTTTCAGTTCAGTGTCATTATTATGTAGAGGGGAGGGACACCTGTCTGTGTTTCAGTTCAGTTCATTATTATGTAGAGGGGTAGTCTGTGTTTCAGTTCAGTGTCATTACCTGTCTGTGTTTTATGTAGAGGGGAGGGACACCTGTCTGTGTTTCAGTTCAGTGTCATTATTATGTAGAGGGGAGGGACACCTGTCTGTGTTTCAGTTCAGTGTCATTATTATGTAGAGGGGAGGGACACCTGTCTGTGTTGTTTCAGTTCAGTGTCATTATTATGTAGAGGGGAGGGACACCTGTCTGTGTTTCAGTTCAGTGTCATTATTATGTAGAGGGGAGGGACACCTGTCTGTGTTTCAGTTCAGTGTCATTATTATGTAGAGGGGAGGGACACCTGTCTGTGTTTCAGTTCAGTGTCATTATTATGTAGAGGGGAGGGACACCTGTCTGTGTTTCAGTTCAGTGTCATTATTATGTAGAGGGGAGGGACACCTGTCTGTGTTTCAGTTCAGTGTCATTATTATGTAGAGGGGAGGGACACCTGTCTGTGTTTCAGTTCAGTGTCATTATTATGTAGAGGGGAGGGACACCTGTCTGTGTTTCAGTTCAGTGTCATTATTATGTGTCATTATTATGTAGAGGGGAGGGACACCTGTCTGTGTTTCAGTTCAGTGTCATTATTATGTCATTATTATGTAGAGGGGAGGGACACCTGTCTGTTGTTTCTGTTCAGTGTCATTATTATGTAGAGGGGAGGGACACCTGTCTGTGTTTCAGTTCAGTGTCATTATTATGTAGAGGGGAGGGACACCTGTCTGTGTTTCAGTTCAGTGTCATTATTATGTAGAGGGGAGGGACACCTGTCTGTGTTTCAGTTCAGTGTCATTATTATGTAGAGGGGAGGGACACCTGTCTGTTGTTTCAGTTCAGTGTCATTATTATGTAGAGGGGAAGGACACCTGTCTGTGTTTCAGTTCAGTGTCATTATTATGTAGAGGGGAGGGACACCTGTCTGTTGTTTCAGTTCAGTGTCATTATTATGTAGAGGGGAGGGACACCTGTCTGTGTTTCAGTTCAGTGTCATTATTATGTAGAGGGGAAGGACACCTGTCTGTGTTGTTTCAGTTCAGTGTCATTATTATGTAGAGGGGAAGGACACCTGTCTGTGTTGTTTCAGTTCAGTGTCATTATTATGTAGAGGGGAGGGACACCTGTCTGTGTTTCAGTTCAGTGTCATTATTATGTAGAGGGGAGGGACACCTGTCTGTTGTTTCAGTTCAGTGTCATTATTATTTAGAGGGGAGGGATACCAGCTTGTGTCGTTTCAGTTCAATTTCATTATTATGGCATGATATATCAATATTTTTCACCAGTATATACTTATCTAAAAATATCACAGATGGATTGATGATGTGTAAATTGTTTCATTTGAAAACTTTTATAAGGAGCGTGCTGCATTCAGCAAGAGTCTTAGTGAAACCGAGGACTGGCTCTATGATGAAGGAGAGGATCAGTTAAAACAGGTGTACATCGACAAACTTGCAGAACTCAAGGTGAGACTCTCAAAGTATTACCAACAATGAATTGTTTGTGTAAAGATTAGTTATGTTAAATGAAATAACTCACAAGGATATGATTTGAATCATGTGATTATTTATTTTAAATGTAGTTTATTAAAACTATTATGATTTTTCTTTTTTTTTTCAGAAAATGGGAAATCCAATCCAGGAAAGATTTAGTGAATTCCAAGAACGGCCACAGGCATTTGAGGAGTTTGGAAAGGCAGTCATGTTAGTACGAAAGTTTCTGGACCTTTGTGCCCAAAAGGTAAAAATCGACTTATATACAACAATGAGTTTTTGGCATACTGTGTCCATCCATCAACTATTTATACAAATCACTACTAGTCATGAATGACTCACAGGATTTTGACCGAATATGGCAAGCAGCATCCCTAGGTTTAAAAAATAATGGCGGGTCTCGGCCACCAGGGGCAGAAGGGGCGGGGCCTTATACAGGTTATAGAACATATACTTAAAAATCCTACTCCTCCTGTAAGAATAATACAGAAATCCTACTTCTCTGGAATTGGATGTTGCCTGAATTTGGTAAGAAGTATTCTTGGTTGAAGGGGAACAAAGCTTTGTATAAGGATTGGTTCTCTATTCCCAGGGCCTGTAGGGACTGGGCCCAAAAGGGGAAATTGTGCAAATTCTTTAAAATATTACTCCTCATATAAGAATAAATGGATACTGCTCAAGTATTCTTGGGTAAAGGGGACAGTATGAATATTCTGAATAAATAGTGTATCCCTGCCCCCATGGGCTGGAGGGGTGGGCCCAAACTTGGGAAATGGAAGTTCTTGAAAGTCCTTCTTCCATGCAATGATATTGTCTGGTTTGGCCTGAAGCAATTTTTATGAATAGTGAATCTGACCACACGGATGGGACCCAGAAGGGAAATTATTTCAGAAATTATTTGTCATCTTTGAAATTTCTTTATTAAATGGCTGAATAGCTAAATTAGCGAGATGTGTGTTGCAGGCCCCTTTGTCCTTGTGTTTCCTTTACCATAGACAGTTCTACATGTTACCAATTTACAATTTTATCATCCTGTCCTTCAAGATGAAAATCAATCCTGTGATTTTGTCTATGTCATGGGTATTTTACTGTTTGTAGGACGGAGATTTCTGAAGACGTGTATAATATATTTTCAATAGAAATTCTTTTGTAGAAAATAAGAACTTTTAATGGTTGTGTTTCTGACCAGTGTTGTTATGTGGAGATCACATCTGATAACATTTGACAAAATTCAAGCAATCAGAGTGCTGTGATTTATATCAGTGGATCTTAACGAATACATCTATTTTAATATAACCATTTTTAACAGACCCATTTTCACTCATGAAAAATATACTGTCTGACTTGAATTTGTTTTTCTGTACAGGTGAATGTAAAGGAGGGGTTTTGGATCATTAAGATGTTTAATTTGTAGGAAAATATGTATGAGATGACGATCAAATAATTAATTTATTAAATACTGTATGTGTTTAAAATAACCTTTCACCAGCATGACATGAATGATTTTTTTAGGACGAGAAATACAGTCACATAGAAACCAAGGATGTAGACAAAGTGGCTAAATGTTTAAAAGAGAAGGAGGAGTGGTACAACACTAAACTTAACCAACAGAATGCCCTTAAAACATACGAAAAACCTATAGTGCTGGTCTCACAGATATGTCAGGAAAAACAGGTGAGTAGAACAAACCAACAGAATGCCCTTAAAACATACGAAAAACCTGTAGTGCTGGTCTCACAGATATGTCAGGAAAAACAGGTGAGTAGAACAAACCAACAGAATGGCCTTAAAACATACAAAAAATCTGTAGTGCTGGTCTCACAGATATGTCAGGAAAAACAGGTGAGTAGAACAAACCAACAGAATGGCCTTAAAACATACAAAAAATCTGTAGTACTAGTCTCACAGATATATCAGGAAAAAGAGGTGAGTGAATTTAACCAACAGTAATTTCTAAAGTTATTGAAAAAGCTTTTTACCAGCCTTTCAGATAGGCATGGACCTCCATAACTTTCGCTGGTACACTGAGCATCTCTTATTTGAGATATCTTTGTGTTAACCTATGACCTCTTGAGAAGCATAATGTTATAGTAAACCATGGAATATCAAGCAGGTTTTAAATGATATTTAAAGGTAGAAGACACTTTACATCTGTAGAGTTGTACATTTCCATTACAGTTATTGGAAAACACATGCAATCCAATCATGAACAAGACGAAGCCGAAGCCAAAAGAAGAACCTCCCAAGGATGACAAGAAGGAAAAGAAGAGTGAAAAGGAAACGCCCACCGAGAACGCCCAGCCTGAACAGACAGCTGAATCATCTGAGGCCCCAAAAGTGGACATGGATGTGGATTGATGGAGGATTTGTTAGATTTCTTGTTATAATGAGGACTGCTTTGGCAGCAACTGTGGGATCATGAAAAGTGAGGGCCACATCAGTCCTCTCTCTGCTTTGCATGATTAAATATTGATGCTGGATATGATAGGAAGTGCTAATATATGTAAATATACAAGGTTCTTCTCAATTACCTGATGTGGCTATTGGAGTAGTCTTACTGAGGTATGGAACGCTGACAAATTCTCTACAGAGCGTAGAGCCTTACTGATCAAAGCTTATAGGAGGGGTCGGATGTTATTACAATACAGGGATCATTTAATCAGTGAATGCCTCCACAGTGTCCCAGTCAACAGCACTTCAGTGTTCATTTGCTGCTGTTCAGTGACAATTATGTGAATGTTATATAATCATGTCCACTGATGTTAAGTACCATTGAAGTCTCACAGCAAGGACAGTAATATTGTGTATTAATGGTCATTCCTGTGATCAGACATTGATCACATACATTCATAGACATTGCGGGAGATGTTATAATGATTAATGCTGTCTTCTTGTAACTTCATGTTGTTCCGTCATTCTTTCACTACTGTTCAAGCTAAGCTGTTCCCTGTATAAAACATATCTAACACAATCTACCAAACTTGTCAGAACTCGTGTCTCGGTGTAAGATTTCAGTTAATACTTTACATGCCGTATTCATTTGACAGTATAGAAATAATAAGGGTGATTGTTGATTCTTTTCAGATAAAAAAAAAAAGGCAATGAGAGAAAATTTGTATTGAGGATAGAACATTTGGACCAGAAACTGGATTGAGCCAATGACAAGATCAAATATCATTCATATTTCTAGTCAAGATCCAAAGGGAGTAATTCCATGCCTGCTTGAAGCTAGTCTTTTTATAGCCAACTTTAACATATCAGAATCAGTTTAGTCCTATTTTTTTATTTCTTTAAAAAAAAAAGGTTTAAAATTGTTTTTTAGTTAAGGTGATATTTTGGTTTTGTTTATCATACAAGTAGTACGATGTCCACAGGCTTGTTTGTTGATAAGGCAGTCCAATTGAGACTTTTGATATTAACTGAAGGAAGGTTGTTTGTATCTGTTGACTATAGGATTATTGTACTATGCTTCCAATAGAAGTAATGTTAAGGAGCCTCTTTATGGATTAAACAGTATTTGTCAACCTTTCGGTACACAATTTAAATGTTAGGTACAATTAGCACTTGTCTCCTATCCTTATGGCTAAACCCTGAGGTCACTCTGTTGTACAATTAACCTATATTAGGTACGATTGGCACTACTCTGCTCTTCTTATGGACAAACCCTTACGTCACACTGTTGTAGGATTGACCTATATTAGGTAGGATTGGCACTAGACTCCTCATGGATAAACCCAGAGGTCACACTGATTGACCTGTGTTAGATGCGGTTCACACTAGTCTCCGCTAGTACGGAATCGTCTGCGCACTATTTATTTCGGTATGTACATTTCATGTGGTTTATATGATTCACATTGATCAATTGTGATGAATGTGTCTGCAAAATAAAAGATGAAAATTTTATGTTAAACATTTTTGTTTTTGTTTTTATTCATAAACATTGAGATGTTGAATCCACTTAGTCTGTCATTCTATTTGAATTAGAAAAAGCTTTTTCTACATCTGTCAAAAGATGGGTTGTGTGTTATCACGAGTGGGTGGGCAAGTAGCACACGCAATGTCTGTTCGGTAACTTGAATATTTTTCAATAGTTAGTATCAAACTTCATAGGGAGGTTCATTACCATGATAGCAGGGACAAGTATGATCACTGTAATTTTCAGACTGCAATTCATCCAGTTATGGCCCCTTATTCAATTACCTAAACAGTGACCGCTTGATAAGGCAAGTAGCTTTCACAAGATCAACTTCAAACTTCATAGAAAGGTTCAATACCATGATAGCTCAAAGAAAATTGATCACCGTAATTCATGGAGTTATGGCCCTTTGTTCCATTAGCAAAAGAGTGTCCTCGCAAGGAATTCTTAAATTTGGTATAATTAAGACCAAATGAGAGAATTTATTACTAGAATTATTGCAGAGTTGTTCAAAAACAATCAACATTGTCATTGAAATGTGAAATCCTAATATATGACCAGTAAATAGCTTGTATGAAGGCTTATCAATATACTGTATTGACGAAGATCAGAAGTGTGATTTAAACCATTACCAGGTAAATGCCTCCAGTTTCAAATCAGAGTTATCATCAACAATAGCTAGATACAAAGCTGTCATCAGTCATTCAATCACCTACACTTTTAAGGTTCAAGAGATCAAATTTATTGCTATATCTTCTCATGTTTCATTGAAATTGGTAATTTAATTACTTCAAATTCCCTCACAAGATCACAAGGTCAAATATGTTTCTTGTCCTTTTTAAAAAATGTTTTGATAACTTCTGAAGTCCCAGTAAGTAATAAGAAATAACATACCGTTATGGTGGCAAACAAAAGATAACACAAAATATAAAAGACATCGAGTGTATTTTGAGAATTTTAATATGGAACAAGACAAACATGCTTCAGATACATTGATTGCAAACACTTTTGAAGTAAAATGGCAATAATAGGGTCACTGCAAATAATATCTCTATCATGAAACCTGATAATAAACAAATCAGGTCTATAAAAACATAATGCAGATGTTCATAATCACAATTTGTCAATTACCTTTTTTTTTTTTTATTAACAATATCAATTTTGTCTGAAAATGGAATTACAACTTCCAAAATAAGATGCTCAATTCGTGCCCTGTGATGTTCTTTATATTCTAAATACAGCAGTACTTAAATGCAAGATTATTTTCCTCTGGTTCTGAATAATCTCACAGATATATATTCAAAATTAGCATTTCTTTTCTCAAGATCAGTATAAATGTTACATAAAAAATGTAATGTGTACATTATATAATAATGATCAGTGCATAAGTTAATGTGAACAAAAAAAGCATTACTAAATTATATTGACAAGATGGACAAAATACCAGGTAAGATGACTAAAACCTGTACAGAATGTGATAGTCAATGTATTCAACAATGGTGTTTTACCAAAGGTTCATTTTGTCTATGAAATTTGAAAACTGATCACTTGGAATGTTACTGTCTTACTCTTGACAAGAAATATACCTACTTACCAATTATAGAAAAGATATCATATACCAAACATTATACAAATTGCTGATTAGTTTGTATACCTACGACATGATCGACTGATCCAATGAAGAAAATCTCCCTAGTTTTACAGAGTATAGATCTGATGTGGTAGTACCAAGTAGATAAATTATACTCATATCATCAAATATGAAACTTTCAGGTAGAGAAAATCATATTGAGTACAGATCTAACGTACAGATAAATCATACTTACATTAACTTCCAGCGTAGAACCTTACTCATTTACAGAGAATAGAAAATCAATACTGACTACAAAACTTATGCAGTAGATCATCTTTTCAAGAAAATCTACACACATGTTCAGCCAAACGGAGTAACACAACACTAGTGGTGATACAGGTGGCCCATGCTTAGCAGTGACAGCTCCAAGTGTGATACAATGAACAGCATGGCAAAAAAAGCTTCTAAATACTGTTCACTTTGGTACAACAACAAATTGTCACTATTGCACTTTGCCGCAAAATGAATTCATTGACAGTGTTTCCTCACTGTTCAAACTTTTTCTTAGAGGACCTAAAATGGAAATAAAAAAAATAATCACTGACAACTTTAAGATGACATAAAATCACTAACATTGTTATTTCATTGTTGGCTTATAGAATTGAATAAAAGCAATCATAAAACTGCACCATAAAATAGTATTCCTGTCTCCTCAGATCTTAATGTAAGACCGTTTGTTGATAAAGCCTGTCTCCTCAGATCTTAATGTAAGACCGTTTGTTGATAAAGTTGGTTTTTTTAGATCTTAATGTAAGACAGTTTATTGATAAGCCAGTCTTTTCAGATCTAAATAGGTTTGTTGATAAGTCTGTCTTTTCAGATCTAAATAGGTTTGTTGATAAAGCCTGTCTTTTCAGATCTAAATGGGTTTGTTGATAAGTCTGTCTTTTCAGATCTAAATAGGTTTGTTGATAAGTCTGTCTTTTCAGATCTAAATAGGTTTGTTGATAAGTCTGTCTTTTCAGATCTAAATAGGTTTGTTGATAAGTCTGTCTTTTCAGATCTAAATAGGTTTGTTGATAAAGCCTGTCTTTTCAGATCTAAATGGGTTTGTTGATAAAGCCTGTCTTTTCAGATCTAAATAGGTTTGTTGAAAAAGCTGTTCTTTTCAGAACTTAATGTAGGACCGTTTGTTGATAAAGCCCGTCTCCTCAGATCTTAATGCAAGACTGTTTGTTGATAAAGCCTGTCTTCTCAGATCTTAATGTAAGACAGTTTGTTGATAAAGCCGGTCTTTTCAGATCTAAATAGGTTTGTTGATAAGTCTGTCTTTTCAGATCTAAATAGGTTTGTTGATAAGTCTGTCTTTTCAGATCTAAATAGGTTTGTTGATAAAGCCTGTCTTTTCAGATCTAAATAGGTTTGTTGATAAAGCCCGTCTTTTCAGATTTAAATTGGTTTGTCGATAAAGCCTGTCTTTTCAGATCTAAATAGGTTTGTTGATAAAGCCTGTCTTTTCAGATCTAAATAGGTTTGTTGATAAAGCCTGTCTTTTCAGATCTAAATAGGTTTGTTGATAAAGCCCGTCTTTTCAGATTTAAATTGGTTTGTCGATAAAGCCTGTCTTTTCAGATCTAAATAGGTTTGTTGATAAAGCTTTTATACACAGGATCTATAGTAATTGATACAGATAAACAGCATATCCTTGTTTCGATTCCTCAATATATATTCCCATTTTAACAAGACAATTTGGTGAAGTACAGTCCCCCATCCACTGTGAAATTATATGCAAAACAAACATTTTCTATGATGTAGGTCAAAGGTCAAATGTAGGTCTGAGTGACCTACTTTTGATATGCAACAAACCATCTCACCAAGGTGAACCCGTACCCCAAGTATGCCAATGTAAAATTGAAGAACTTCCCATCCCTATCCCCAACCAAAAGGTTTGCCTGTGTACATGGTTAAATGCAGCGATTGTTGGGACTCCCATATTTGAGTCTTGGACTCATAATTTTCGTGTGGGACTCACTCAAATTTTGAAGACTCACTTTATCTCTTAGAAATCTTGTCAATTACTGTAAATATAAGCAAAAAAGAATCTAGAACTCCTCAGTATTATAAGACAAGACATCAGTATATGTTGGTGACACTGAATCTAGAACTCCTCAGTATTATAAGACAAGACATCAGTATATATTGGTGGCACTAAATCTAGAACTCCTCAGTATTATAAGACAAGACATCAGTATATATTGGTGACACTAAATCTAGAATTCCTCAGTATTATAAGACAAGACATCAGTATATGTTGGTGACACTTACTTTTTCTTGCTCTTGGGAGATGTTGACTGAAACACACTACTGGCAGCCATGAGGTTTTCTATATACTGACCAAGCACCTGGTTCTCTGACTTGAGTTTCAGATTTTCCTCCTTCACAGTGTCAACACGTGATGATAGGTCTGTAAATAGACAACACACCCCCCAAGGCTTTGTTATACCAAAAAACAGGCCATTATAGGCAACAAATATTAATACCACTGATATTTCTATAATAATAGTTTTACATCACACATTCCATCAATACAAAATAAGAACATGATTAATTCTTTATGTATATATATCGGAGTTTAAACTGATTTGGGATATAGATATAGAGTTATTTCCCTTATCAACACCAGAGATATGTGTCTGCTGAGGGAAGTTATATCATACCATGTTGCAGAATTACAAGGTTAGATTAAGCAACATTATATCATGTTGCAATATTACAAGGCAAGATTTAGCAACACCATATAATGATGCAGAATAATAAGGCTAGATTTAGCAACATTATATCATGTTGCTAATAACAAAATTTGGCTACAACATAACATGTTGCTAATTTACAAGGTTTAGTGAAAGACTATACCATGTTGATGAATTACAATAAGATTGATGTCCTGGTTACTAATTATAGTATCATCTTACTAACTTTCCTTTAGTTGAGTGGTAGAGTGTCTGGCTAGTGAGGAAAAGGTGACTAGTACAAATCCCAATGGGAACTGAGGGCATTTGATACTGTACTCCTTCCCATTACAGATTTAGTGACACTAACTATTCTGAGGGTAGAAGCTTGGTGACTTTCTAGTTGTAATTTACATTTAATCAGGTGGAAGAGGTCAGGTCTACCAGACTTGGGTAGGACATTCCCTTCTTATTACAATAAGATGCTACGGCTTGAGTCCCTGACCCAACTGTCCAGCATGTTATAAAACTTGTATCATAGACTAACCATCCAGAGTATTCTGCAACTCCATCACCTGGGCAATGAGACGATGTTTCTCTTCCTCTTCATCTGGGTTCACATCCGGGTCTAGGCCTGTAAAACAAGTTTCATCTGATTAACAGGATAAGTCTCAATCATCTTCTTTTCTTACAAAAATACCAACAAGCCCTTCCCCCTAGGCTCCTTCCCCCTCCAACACCCCCTAGTCCCCCCAACACTCCCCTCTTATCAGTCTAAATTATACGCGAGTGTATCAAAACACTTATATGGTGAATTAAGCCTTAATATAACGCGAACTTGTTAATCATGTGACATTGTTTTTAAATGGAAAACACCATATCTTGAGAGATAATATGACAGATAACAGCAAGCATTCACCAATAACTCTGAAATATACATTATTGGAAATACTTAATACAAATTGAATTCTCTGTCGTTAATATGTGATGAAATATTCAACTGATTTTATTTGATGTAATCATGTTAAGAATCAGCAATAGGTATTATTCTAAGTTATATTTAACTGTACTTACTGCTGTAAGTGTCTGTTCTCATTTCTCCAGGGTTAATAAATGGATTGTCAACAGTTTTTACATCTCCTGGAATAAATCAAACAAATGTGCATTGAAAAATGTTTTCTTTTGTTTTAATAAATGAACAACTAAATAAAATCCACATATCAACAGGTACTTCAATTTACATGCGATGAAAAAACATGTGTTAACTTAATATTTTGTTTTTATTTAAGTACAACAGCATTTTTTTTTATGTAATTTGACATTATTATCAAGATGGTTGAGATAATATGAAAAGTGGTCCTGCAGATAATTGAACAATTTTCTGAAGACATTATAAAATCGTGAAAATGTTGATCCATACTGAATTTCCTTTTTCATATTAAATTTTGATATAACCAGCGTGAAATTAGGTAATGATTACCTTAATGTTTATTACTATATGGATTAAATTGCACACATTTTGAAGAATCAATGGTGCATTTTGAAGAATATATATTTGTAAAATCCATGGTACTGTGACCTGACCAATGTTGAACGAAATTTAATAGGTGCTGAAAATCCCTGTTGGTAACTAAAATCAGTGGAGTTTTGAGGTCCTAGATTGAGAAGTATTCTAGTAGGGGTCAAACAAACTAATTACATGTATTATTGATAGAATAGCACAGTAAAAAGCAAATCAAGGACAGGGAAAACATGTTTCATCAATCATCAAACAAGCTTGATCAGCTTGGGAAGTGATCCTGGGGCTGAAGTACTGAATGATGCGTGGTATATGATCTCTTTATTAGACTTATTTTGCACGAATTAACTATGATGCTATGTGACCTGGACACTTTTTAAAAAAAAATACATATACGTTTCTGGGACCATTCCAGTTAATGTAATTAAGAATATTCCTACAAAGAAAGGAAATGTTCGAAATTGCATATCTATGCGTTTGTATTATCAAATATAATGTTTCTGATGTGGAAGACGATAGAAGCAGGAGGGGAGACCATACATTATGACTCAAACCTGTGTCACTGTCACTTGAGAGTTGTACATTAAAGAGTTCTTCCTTATTTGTCCCAGAAGACATCGTGATGTGAGTTTATGCCTGTCTTCGTAGAAATGACCCAGCAAGGATGGCGTGATGTCGGTCACTTCAGATGCTGGAGAAGTCCTCGGGCAAACCTCAGCAAACGTATGACTCAACATTCAACAGGCAGACTTTAAAAGAAACGGAGAGAAAAAACATATAGTACGTGAAATTAATACGGGCACCACTGCATCTAAAAACAAATCAAGTATTAGCTTCACACCCGAGTATTATTTACAATAAATGCATATTCCTTTCTACTGTGTACTAATGTTGCAACTAACATCGGTCGCCATGTTGGATTTTTCATCGAAGTCACATGACTGTGACGTCATGATAAGGTGCTCGTTCACACACGAGTTCATTCAAGCTGTCAACAAACCACGAGGAATGTCGACTGAGAGTGACAAGCCTAAAATGTCGGACGCTAGCTCTACTGTCTCACGGACTCCATAACGACCGGACTCAGTCATGCCTCTCACTTGTAAGTAGCACAGTTTTATGTAAAAGAGAACTAGCGTTATGCATTTAACAGTTTATTTGGCTACTGAAGTTTGAGGGAAAAGTGAAAAAAAATGATGGCCTTTGAAATGTTTGTATGTATTTCGCCCTCACTGCCAGTGGCCCACTTGTCACACCTGTGTGCTTTTGCTTTTGTTGTAAATCACTGAAACACCTACACCCCTTCCCTTTGTACCGACATCACAGTCATCACATGAAACATACTCCCCAACAGAGACACTAGCCTCCTACTGGTTAGGTATTGTCCAACGAGATATCAGTAAATTTTCATTTGAAATCTATTTATAAATGTTTTTTCTAACCGAATATTCATAAACTATGTAAATGTTCAACATTAATTAGACATGTGAACATTGATGTTCTTCGTCTGATTAAATGTTAGTAATTCCGGATTATTTGTATTTTTAGTTTGGTTCATTCAAGTGTACCGTGATTTAATTTCGCGATGACAGGTAGATTTGTTTGTAAGAAAATAATAAGGTAGTGTTAAAGATCCGAGTAAGAGACAGCGAGGCATATACTGTCCTATATCACAATCAGATAAGGGAAGAGCCCATTGGCAAACACTGTGTCCAACATAAGTAGTCCCCCTACACCTTGATTTAGACTTTAAAACAGTGTTTTTGTAACAGATTTGAAAGCCTGCTGTAGATGCTTGTTGTTAAAATAAATATTTCCTAAATATTCAAAGCATGTCAAAACTTGACATTGTGTTGTCTAAAGGATGACCCAGATATGCTACAAGATAAACACTTGTGTTTTTTTGACAATAGTGATTATTTAAAGTATTTCAGTTCAAGTTTATGAGAGAACAATTGTGTGATGTGTGTGTGCTAGGTAATGAGTAAGTGAATGGTTCTTTAGATTATCAGGTGTTGTAGCAATATATCACACTACTGTGTACAACAGGATTAGTACAGGCCCAATTGTATACAACTGTTACATGTGTGTATTATTTAAACCCTGAATTTCCTATACATGTATACATTTTACACTCAAACTGTAGTATTTCAAAAGCTTCAAAACAATGATAATGTTACTAATTAAAACTAAAGAGGTGATATCATTTTAGTGATACTTTGAAGTATTTCAGAATTATTTAATCATTCAAATTGTTTTAGCTGTGTAGATAAAATAATCCTAAAAACAAACTAGAAAACTTAACAGAAGTGCTTGTATAATTTTAGGTATGGTGTACACAGAGGTATTCACCACTTAATAGGTGTATTAGGTAGCATTAACACATCTGTATGTGTGTTATATTGGCACCATTACATATGGAGTAATAGTATACTAGAATTCCTGAGAAAAATCCTATAGATATGTTCCTATATACAAATCTTTACCTGAATAGAAAAGTTTTTTTCTGTTGGAAATAAAATCTGAATCTCTACTGATTGGTATCAGGTCGTAGATAGATATATAGACATTATCAGGTAGTTGACAAGTCTTGGAACAGGTGTTGCCAACTTATTACTGTTTTGCATTATAACATTTGATATATCGCTCAGGTATTCCATACTTAACTACATGAAGTTAGTTCTTGTTTATTTATCATCAATTAGTAAAATCAATACGAGCTGACAATGTTGCGGAAACTTGTTATTTTAGGATTGATTTACAATGAGACATGTTTGCTTTCCATATTTCATCTTAAATATTGAAGCACAGCCATTACATCTTCTGCTTTAAACTGCTTCATAATAAATTTTGTCCAAATTTCAAACTGATAAGTTTATCTGTATCACTAAGATGTAGGAGTTGAGAGTACAGGTGCCTTACTGGCCTCGGTTAGTGGGAATTTTCCTATAGTTGAGCAGTAGAGTGTCCGACTACATGGAATGGTAATCTTTATTCCTCCTGTTATAGATTTCATGCCATTGATCAATCCAAGGGTAAAATCATTTAGATGCTTCCTTGGACATAACACACCTTGGTTGTTGTCTTTGTGAAGACTAGAGCCAGAAGGGTAGTTAGTTTAAGCCCCAGCATGTGAAGGATATTTTTCATTACTCCTTCCTGTTACAGTAAAAATCAACTGTGCACAGTATTGTTTCCCAATCATTTTAGTTTTTAGTGTGTTGATAATAATGATATGATTATAAACTTACATATGTTGATTTAGGTTGTTTAAATTTAGGCATATCTCTGTCTCCAAGAAAACTAAATGACCCTAGGATGTGTATGATAATATCTTATCAAGTCAAAGTGATTCTAATGAAGACAAATAGAGGTAAACAGTCATTATTGCTTTTCAGTCTGGTGTTGTGATATGGTCTATTATGTATTTGAACTACCTACAATTGTCATGTGTTGTGCGATTGCAAATATTAAAAAATAAAACTGGTACAATTCCTCCTTCCCCTCCCCCTTCTCCTTCCCATTGAACTCCTAGTTAGGGACAGTGTCCTCCCTTTCTCCCCCTTCTCCTTCCCATTGAATTTCTAGTTAGGGACAGTGTCCCCCCACTTCTCCTTCCCATCGATTTCCTTGTTAGGGACAGTGCACCCCCCTTTTCTCCTTTCCATTGAATTCCTAGTTAGGGACACTGCCCCCCCCCACCTTTCTCCCCCTTCTCCTTCCCATTGATTATCTTGTTAGGGAGAGTGTCCCCCCCACCCCTTTTCTCCTTTCCATTGATTTCCTTGTTAGGGACAGTGGCCCCACCCCTTTCTCCTTTCCATCAATTTCCTAGTTAGGAACAGTGTCCCCCCCCCTTTCCCTCCATTCTCCTTCCCATTGATTTCCTAGTTAGGGACAGTGCCCCCCCCCCCTTTCCCCCCTTCTCCTTCCCATTGATTTCCTGATATGGGACAATGCCTCCCCCCTTCTCCCCTTTCCCCCTGCTTACTTAATGGAGAAACAAACAAACTGGAGTAAGAAATTGTACGAAGTGAGAACACTAAGTATCCTGTCAGGACTTCCCTAGTTAGAAATTGTGCATGGATAACACATCACCACAGGTATATCAGTCCTAAGTGCTGATTTACACTGAATGTCAAACAGAGAGCAGCAAATGCCAACTTCTCAGGCCTAGGTTTGTCTCCTAATGTTGAGGGAACACACATTCTATGTTATAGCAGGCAATAAGTACTAATTTCTCAGTGTTGGATTTGTGTCACTTGATGATGGAACACACCTTACATACCTAATACAATAAGTATAGTTTGTCTTTGTCAGAGGACAGAACATGCAACCTTCCTTACTTTGTACAATAAGTATGTTTGTATCCGTTATAGACAGAACACATCTTCCTTACTTTGTACAATAAGTATGTTTGTGTCGGTTAGAGACAGAACACATCTTCCTTACTTTAGACAATAAGTATGTTTGTGTCGGTTAGAGACAGAACACATCTTCCTTACTTTGTACAATAAGTATGTTTGTGTCGGTTAGAGACAGAACACATCTTCCTTACTTTGTACAATAAGTATGTTTGTGTCGGTTAGAGGCAGAACACATCTTCCTTACTTTGTACAATAAGTATGTTTGTGTCGGTTAGAGGCAGAACACATCTTCCTTACTTTGTACAATAAGTATGTTTGTGTCGGTTAGAGACAGAACACATCTTCCTTACTTTGTACAATAAGTATGTTTGTGTCGGTTAGAGGCAGAACACATCTTCCTTACTTTGTACAATAAGTATGTTTGTGTCGGTTAGAGGCAGAACACATCTTCCTTACTTTGTACAATAAGTATGTTTGTGTCAGTTAGAGGCAGAACACATCTTCCTTACTTTGTACAATAAGTATGTTTGTGTCGGTTAGAGGCAGAACACATCTTCCTTGCTTTGGAGAATTGATACTGTTTGTCGCCTCAGAAGAATGAACACATGACCTTTATTTCTTAAGAGGATGCTGAACACAGGGATAGCAGGGATGATGTAGGTTTAATTTTATTGCAGCTGTTTTGTGATTAATCGCTGTAAACTATAGAAACTCTATGGAAACATCATAATATACTTAACAGGTTTTTCTGACAAAATATCCAACAAAGGCTTTGTGTAGATTGAGAGGACACTTCAGTTTTCTTTTCTAAATATTGTAACCACAACATGCACTATTAAAATACGATATACTCTTACACATATTTAACTTACTGGTATTGTTAAATGTCAACACAAAACGCAAAATTGATGGCATGTTTATGAAATAACATTATATACAGATGTCTATAGGATTGAACAGATCATAGCTGAATATAAACAGAAGTTTTGATTTGCATCTTAAAATGTCAAAATAAATGTAACATAATCAGATGACAACACCCAAGGACATCTCTTTACCTAAATGATACCTATAAAATTCTTCAACATTTATGTGTTAATTCTGAAATTCATCAGATCATCTTGTATTGTAGGCAACATAAAAGGCACTGGGAGTTAATTTATTTAAATGAAAATAATTTTTTTTCTTTAAACCAGAGCTTAATTGAAGATCCATAAAATCTCCATTTGAACTGAGACTTAAATTCCATGATCAGTGGAACATGCAGACAATTATGTACCATGTGACTCCTACCGTTCTGTTAACAGGTAACTGATAACTCTACATAGCAATTACAGGAAGGGACAGGTAGGCATAGTTACAGATAGGTACAGAAAGAGGTATATACAGTTACAGGTAGGTACAGCGAGAGGTATACACAGTTAAAGGTAGGTACAGCGAGAGGTATATACAGTTACAGGTAGGTACAGCAAAAGGTATGGACAGTTACAGGTAGGTACAGTGAGAGGTATATACAGTTACAGATAGGTACAGCGAGAGGTTTACACAGTTACAGGTAGGTACAGCAAGAGGTTTACACAGTTACAGGTAGGCACAGTGAGAGGTATATACAGTTACAGGTAGGTACAGCGAGAGGTATATACAGCTACAGGTAGGTACAGTGAGAGGTATATACAGTTACAGGTAGGTACAGCGAGAGGTTTACACAGTTACAGGTAGGTACAGTGAGAGGTCTACACAGTTACAGGTAGGTACAGCAAGAGGTTTACACAATTACAGGTAGGTACAGCAAGAGGTTTACACAGTTACAGGTAGGTACAGCGAGAGGTATATACAGTTACAGGTAGGTACAGCGAGAGGTATATACAGTTACAGGTAGGTACAGTGAGAGGTTTACACAGTTACAGGTAGGTACAGCAAGAGGTTTACACAGTTACAGGTAGGTACAGTGAGAGGTATATACAGTTACAGGTAGGTACAGCGAGAGGTTTACACAGTTACAGGTAGGTACAGCAAGAGGTTTACACAGTTACAGGTAGGTACAGCGAGAGGTTTACACAGTTACAGGTAGGTACAGTGAGAGGTTTACACAGTTACAGGTAGGTACAGCAAGATGTTTACACAGTTACAAGTAGGTACAGCAAGATGTAGACACTTTAACAGGTGGACATGATAAGAGGTAGATATAGTAACAGGTAGATACGGTAACAGGTAGATACGGTAACATGTAGATAAGGTAACAGGTAGATACGGTAACAGGTAGATACGGTAACATGTAGATACGGTAACAGGTAGATACGGTAACATGTAGATACGGTAACATGTAGATACGGTAACAGGTAGATACGGTAACAGGTAGATACGGTAACAGGTAGATACGGTAACAGGTAGATACAGTAACAGATAGATACAGTAACAGATAGATACAGTAACAGGTAGATACGGTAACAGGTAGATACGGTAACAGGTAGATACGGTAACAGGTAGATACGGTAACAGGTAGATACGGTAACAGGTAGATACGGTAACAGGTAGATACAGTAACAGGTAGATATGGTAACAGGTAGATATGGTAACAGGTAGATATGGTAACAGGTAGATACAGTAACAGGTAGATACAGTAACAGGTAGATACAGTAACAGGTAGATACGGTAACAGGTAGATACGGTAACAGATAGATACGGTAACAGGTAGATACAGTAACAGGTAGATACAGTAACAGGTAGATACAGTAACAGGTAGATACAGTAACAGGTAGATACAGTAACAGGTAGATATGGTAACAGGTAGATATGGTAACAGGTAGATACAGTAACAGGTAGATATGGTAACAGGTAGATATGGTAACAGGTAGATACGGTAACGGGTAGATACAGTAACAGGTAGATACAGTAACAGGTAGATATGGTAACAGGTAGATACGGTAACAGGTAGATACAGTAACAGGTAGATATGGTAACAGGTAGATATGGTAACAGGTAGATACAGTAACAGGTAGATACAGTAACAGGTAGATACAGTAACAGGTAGATACAGTAACAGGTAGATATGGTAACAGGTAGATATGGTAACAGGTAGATACAGTAACAGGTAGATACAGTAACAGGTAGATATGGTAACAGGTAGATACATCTTCTGCTGTTGATTATTATTTTTATCAGACTCTAGTGTAATGACATCAGAAAATACAGCTGTTTATTTGGCTTCAGCTATTAACTTTTAATTTGTTTATTTCCCAAGGCATATTTGTGTTTAGATCAGATTATGAATGAGGTAACTTCAGGGAAAACTATAAATACAGTGTTTTAGATTACAAATGGCTCTAGTTAATGATTTATTATTGAAGACACTGTCTTTAATCAAGAGTTTGAGTTTACCACCTGACCTAAAATCAGTTCTATGTGAAAATTTGATATATGGAATTTTTCCAGTACTTAATTGAGTACTTATTACAATAGTCTTTAATTATTGACCTGTCCTGTGTGTACCTCACTGCCTCTGGTGTTATTTGGTTTGGTAATGTTGTTCTACACCATGAGAAGGAAAGTGGTGGAGTGTCCAATTACCTGTGTAAACTGTGTGGATCATTGGAGATGTGTGGCTGTAGGCACATTGTCCGTCATGGCTAGGTTACGAACTAATGGACAACGAAGTACTCATAACACTTGTAATGAACCAAAGTATCCCTCAAGTATACAATACACAATCATCAAAGCAAATTAAGGTCAGTTGTCTCCCCCTGACCTACCATTATACATTGGATTAGATGCATGGTTGACAAAATGAACACTGTGACACTTGTGTCAACATATGAATTTATTGGTTCATTGGTGTTGAAATATTTGTCTGATTTTGTTAATAAAATGACACGAAGTACATTTCACTGACATTATCATAATCCACTTCTTGTTAACGGTTAGAAAAAAAACCTTAAAGGTGAACTGAGATGTTAGGAGAATAATCCAGATTCTGTGCAAAAATGAAATATGAAGAACTGTGAACAAGACCAAGTAACATCTGTAGCAGTGATGAACAGCCCAAGGTCAAGGTCATGTCAAGAGGTCAGAAATCAAATTATTGCTTAGACTTATTAAAGAGCAATATAGCTTACCACACAAATGTTTGTCAGTAACAAAGGAGAGTTGAAAATCTTGAGCTGATTGGCTTATTTCAAGCCTTTCGACACTTAGAAAATAGCTTAATCCATATAGAGTTTCTACTAAAATGTAAATAGATATAATTCAGTCTTTAAGATTTTAGCTTTGCATCTTTTATTGTCATTTGATGTACCTGCCTACATATGCTTTATAAATGGAATTTGTTAACATAGCTACCAGTCAATATTGTATTATTTATTAGTTTAATGAAGACTGTCAGAGAAGGTACACTTCAGCAATCTGTGAACCATTAAAGACATATATATTCCAATAAACATAAATAAATGTTTTACTTTTCACATTTAAAGTCAAATATGTAATAAAAAAAAATAAGCATTTCTTATTTCCTAGACCGTCTTTAGTTTGACTCTAGGAAAAAAATGTTAAACCCTGAGGAAGCCTGATATCAAATATCAATACCCTAGTGTAATTATAAAATGATGCACTGTGTCTTTCAAAATTTGTGCCAAAATTATAACTTTTTAAAACTGACACTGTTATGACAACATTCCTGTATTAAGGTTATTCCTTAAATTACTGCTTTACCATGCAAGGTCACATCAAAGGTCAAATGTTAAATTGTGTCTGTTTTATCTCTGGCATCAATCAAAAAAATGTGGGAGTAAGATTACAGGATGTCCTTAGAATGCTAGGTATTTAGAAGTTTTTGAAAAGATGTGTTTTACTCAGAAATGTTTATGATGACTTAAAAGAATTTCTATCGTGTTTTAGGAACGTTGCAAAACTCAGAAGTCCTGAAAATAGCGTTAGATGATTAAAAAGAATGATATTACTGCAGAAATATGAAAGTTTTAATATCACTACTCATGTATATATATATTAAGTTTTTGAAGTCTCTGTAAATGTTGTCTACTTGTATGTGTGTTTATCTTGGTGATACCTCAAAGTGTCTTGTTGTGTGAGAGATTATATTTTTGTTTACTTGGGTTAAATATCTTATCAGTAATAATTGGAATATCATCTTTATCAAAATATTTACTTTTTTTCAGAAGTGGACAAGCCAGCTCGACTGATGTAGGATTTTCAGGACCAATATATTCCCTTTGTGTAGTGTGTTCTAGTTGATTGAGGAAAATTAATTGGAGATTAATGGAAATAAATTTGATATAATGAGCTGATGGTGGAGTTATCAGTGTTGTGTAGGACTACAGAGTCAGGAGTTGTGGTGACACAGAGGCTGATATGGCCAATACCAACCTCCTCAGTCGCATTAACAACAGTTTACCAGATGGTTGGGAGGCAAAGCTGACAGTCGACCATGGCAGAATCTACTACATAGAGTAAGTACTGATAACATCAACTTATGACAGGAGCTTCATAAAAACTGTTCCATGTTAGCTTTTTTTTTTACAGCTGGCTAGGTAGATTTTTTGGAAGACTTAAAACCAAGGTTATAAAATGTGAAAAAATAATGTGAGGATTACATCTCTGGCAACTACAGATTATGAGATGTATTTGTAGCCAAACTGAATTGCCAGGATTCATTGCCATAACCCACTTGTTTCTGGAGAGGATCAGCATCACACTCTCCACTGGAAAAGTGCCGTTATCAGCAATAAGAGAATTCTTATCAAATTATTTTCTATGTTTGGGTCAGGGGTGTTCAGATCCATCACCACTTGGCAGATAAAAGGTATCATTAGGAAGCTTGTTATCAGCTAGTCTTTCTTATATCTACCTGTATCACAGTCTGTATTTAAACAGTGATCACCCCCACTGTCCATCACTTAAGGTTCCTAGCCCCAGTATCTGTCACAGACATCCTTTAAGGTTCCTAGCCCCAGTATCTGTCACAGACATCCTTTAAGTTTCCTAGCCCCAGTATCTGTCACAGACAACCTTTCAGGTTCCTAGCCCAATTATATGTCACAGACATCCTTTAAGGTTCCTAGCCCCAGTATCTGTCACAGACATCCTTTAAGTTTCCTAGCCCCAGTATCTGTCACAGACATCCTTTCAGGTTCCTAGCCCAATTATATGTCACAGACATCCTTTAAGGTTCCTAGCCCCAGTATCTGTCACAGACATCCTTTAAGGTTCCTAGCCCCAGTATCTGTCACAGACATCCTTTAAGGTTCCTAGCCCCAGTATCTGTCACAGACATCCTTTCAGGTTCCTACCCCCAGTATCTGTCACAGACATCCTTTAAGGTTCCTAGCCCCATTATATGTCACAGACATCCTTTAAGGTTCCTAGCCCCATTATATGTCACAGACATCCTTTAAGGTTCCTAGCCCCATTATATGTCACAGACATCCTTTAATTTTCCTAGCCCCATTATATGTCACAGATATCCTTTAAGGTTATCTGTCAAAGACATCCTTTATGGCTCCTAGTATAGCCTCACACCCTCAAAGACATCAGTTTTGGCTCATCAGTTTTGGCTCCTTATATAACCTCTCTCTCTCTCTCTCTCTCTCTCTCTCTCTCTCTCTCTCTCTGAGAGACTGACTGGTAGACATCAAATTGATGCCAAACAGATCTAATTCTCACCAACATCAGCTATGTCTGACCTTGGTATATAGCCTTTCAATATCTGGGAGACAACACTCCATACCTATTCCCATTCCTTCTTATAGACATTACTCAAACTTCTCTGATTAGAACTTATTAGTTGTGTCCCAAGTGCGTTATCATATAAATCATCGCAGTTGGATTCCTTGACGTAAAGTTCAGCTGTAAGATTGCATTGGAGGGATGCTAATCCGTGCAGACACATCACTGAAAGGCCTGTCATTGGCTTTTGTTTATGATGAGCTATCATCTTTGTCAGGACTAGACTAAACATAGGTCAGATTCTGACTTGGTTAGGGTTGCTGATCCCCACATCTTCTGAGTGATGTCCTCAGACTGTTTTTCTGAATGTCCTGTGGTGTCCCAAAACAGACTGTATGGAATCTGAGTTTGTCATTGGGGAATCTCTTCATCCTCTCAGCACCAATCAATAGCACATCTTTTTCTATCACTGCTGTGTGGCCATGCAAACTGTTCAAAACACATCATATGATGCTAATCGCTTAAGGCTATACTCCCTAATAAGCTGGTTCTGACAGGCAGTGTATTGGTTTGATTAGTACACAAGGACTATTCATAGAGGTGTGTTATCACTCTAATTAAGCTGACATCAGGTCAGAGGTCGAAGAGTGTTTGACCTAACATGAAGAGTCCAGTCTTGGATAATAAATTCTCTCTACTGTCTACAAATGGTGATTTATCTTGTGTTTTATGGACTTAGTGAATGAAACTGGAGGCCCAAAAATCTGTAGAATAATTTGTATGTATTAAGATTTCTCTCTGGTGATGTGATCGTAGACATGGGAAGAGATGTTTGTAAGCAAAGTTCCTGTATGTTATGGGGGTATAATTTATGGGGATATGATGAAATCCGTAAGTGAGTGAACACCTTAGTGAGGAGAACAATATACACAGATATCAATGTTGTTCCATTTGATGTTTTATGGCTGTTATAACTATGTTACATATATCTGATACGCTACAATAGGCCATAGATATCTAGTCACTATTTAAAAGCTATTTGGTATATGATATAAATTTTATTTATTTTACAACAATTGTGAAACAAGCTTTCACTCTTGTTGGCCCATATGGAAGTGCATAGGGGGTCTTACTGTAGGAGGAAACCTGAGTGCGCGTGAAAACCCACATGGTCGGGCAGGTGACCCCATACCTTTTCACGTCCACTCTGGAAATTCTACCCCAGATGGCTAGGTGAAAGGCAAGTGCATTACCACTGCACCACCCAACCATCCATATAAGGTATAAGGTATATAAATTTGTCTGGAATAAGGCTATGTGTATTTGTCAGGAATGAGGCAATATGTATTTGTCAGGAATAGGCCTATATAAATTTGTCAGGAATGAGGCTTTGTAAATTTGTCTACAATAAGGTTATGAAAATTTGTCTACAATAAGGCTATGTAAATTTGTCTACAATAAGGCTATGTAAATTTGTCTAGAATAAGGCTTTTGTAAATGAGTCTGGAATAGGCTATGTAAATGTTTATTATAGTTTTGCCAGTTGAATATAGGAATTGCTCACAGCAGCAAGGATGTTATATATCATCACAAACTCATAGTATCCAGTGATGATATAAATTTTGTAGGTCTGACCAATGACAATGATCCTTTCTAGTCACTGCAATGAAATTCCCTGATTTTCTTTTTTCAATCGAAAATGAAATAAGGGGTCCATCAAATAATACCCTGTACATCTCTGTTTTTCTCTTATTGGTGTATAAAAGCAGTTTTTTAACGTCTCTAACCAGATAATAGCATAAAATGTTAGAATCATCATGTGGTCAGTTGTAGCATCAAACTATCTGACATCAAAGAAAGTATTACAATTTCCTGAAATTTTTCAAACACTGTTTTGTTTTACGTTTGGATCAGCATATTTTGTTTCATTTAATCTTCAATTAAAAATTTAATTAACTGTTAATTGAATAAGTGTTGAAATAATGCTGTAGAGATTACACAATAAAAAGTGTTTCAGATTTTGAATGGCTACTGTATATATTACATTAGACACATGTCTCCTCCCTGAGCCTGGTTGGATGTGGCACAGTTTATATGCATTAAAAATTCACAGCAATGCAGCATATTGATTAACACCCAGGTATTTTATTGTCTGGTTACATATCCTTGTAATCATTTATTGATATGCAGAGTTAGGTCAATTTAGCAGTGTTCTAACACAAAAAAAAACATTTTGGGGGTGGGGGTTTGTTGATAACTGGTTTAATGTCTGTGAACAAAGTCTGTGTTTGGTCAGTGCTTTTTAACCCCATCTCTCTGGTGTAGTCACAGAGTTGGGCGTGTCCCTGGAATGAACACACCCTGCTTGTCTGGTTAGGAAAGTTATCATGATCAGTATGGTTATACATATATACTTTATATTTGATGTATTAAAGTTGAATTATGAAGTAGTGTCCATCTATTGATATTAGAGTGTTTTACCATATAAGTAAGTAAAACTTGAACATGCCATTTTATAGACAGAGAAAGTAATATTGAATTATAAATTCTGCCCAGGGATCATTCAATATAGCCATATGGCTATTAGATATAAGTTTGAAATACATAGTCTATTGATATACAAACCAAAAATCAGATGAAGCAAGGTTGTGATGCTACAGCATTATCTCTGAAAGGAAAAGGGAGATAATCCAGTAGTGGTAATTAAATACAGCATTATGTCGATCACTCAATAAAGAGGAGAGAAAACCCTGTAGAATTAATGTTAGACCTTGAATGGTAATCAAACACCAGTGTCCTGTTGATCACATCAAGGATTTATCAGTATTTAAATTTTAACTGGAGCAGGATCCTTAAGTTCTCTAGTGAGTGCTCAATTCCTGGTATTGCTATATATTTTCCATGCTGTTGATGCAAATTTAAAGTTTGTATTCAGGAATCCTTGTCCTTTTCAGAAGTGTTTTTTAAATTAATTTTTGTTTAAGCATGATTTAAATTTCTGCTTTCAAATAAGAAATTCATGATAATTTTTGTTTGGGTTGGTTTTAAATTGCAGAAGTTTTGAATTATCTACTTATTTTATGTGAATTTTCTTTCTCATGGAAATCTCTATTTCTAATACACAAGATGTAATTTACATGAAGACATATGCCAAGTATTCCCTCAGTTCTCTGTATTGGAAAAGTTTTGCCATGCAGCTATTTTATTTATATCTAATAAAATTTTCACAAATAATCTGTAAAGATATTTATCACAGCTCATACTAATTTTGCTGAAGTACTGACTTTTAAACGTTAAAGAAATCTTAACTACACACATCAAATACCTTTAAGGAATATGGATTACATCTGTCCGTCTATCCATCATCAAGTTTTTGGAACAAGTTTTGTCAAGGTTCAGTAAAAAAAGTTTTTATACTTTGGATGAATGTCCTTTTTGATTCTTTTGGATGTCCATTTTTTTTAAAAATTTTATAAGGTATATATTTTTTGGCGAAAAAGTACTGATAAATGTTTTCCTTCTATGTATGTTTTATGCTTGAAATGTTTCAGTATGGATACTAACCTTTACCAATACATGAACATAAAAGAATGTACACTGTATTGTGAGCATTGAGATATAACAAACGAATCTAGTAGGACTTGGTTAAAGTTCTTGGTAAAGAATTGAAATTAGAGTTCTATTTAGATGTCAAAAAAATTGGGTTGGAGCAGTATGGTTATATCATACATCTGTTTGTAGTGCTATTGTTTATTATAGCATCCTAAACCAAAGCTCATACAGT